ATAGCTAGAATTTACCCTTATCAACAATAAGTTTAGCTGAGGTCGCCTGTTGCAGTGGGACTGTCCACTGTGTGTCTTGGAAATAACGTTTAGCAGAAAAAAATGCCCAGCATAAGGCAAGGCTTATACTCACAGGCAGCTGGAGGTGACAAAGTCACTGTAGACAGGCAGTAGAATGGAACCAGGGACTGCATGATCTACAAGGTGTCTCAAAAGCAGAAGCAGCAACAAAAAGGCGCTTCCTCAAGGATGAAGGGTGGGAGTGGAAGATGATGCCAGTGCTCAGTTCCCTCAGCTTTAATCATTAACATGAAAGCATAGTAGTAGAGGGCACCCAATGATACCAGCTGTGAGGTAGCCTCCAGGGCTTCTGTCTGACTGGCTAACTCCTAAGTGTTTGAGTTGTAAGAGACTGTCACACCCAGAGGCTGTGCTATGGCTCTGGACCTGGAGATAACTGCAGTTTAACATAGTACACAAGGGTCTGGAAAGCACATCAATGCAGAGCCCAATGCCTGAAGGTCACATATCAGACAAACCCTGTGTCTTATTTCAGAGGGGTCTGGATATAGCTTTTAAACTACGGTCTACTACAAGCTGGATGTGTAAGTCTTCAGAGACTGGGTCACATCAGCTCTGAACCTGGAGAGCAATGTGCAGCTAATTAACCGCACACAATGATCTGGAAATCCCAGTGCCTAGTGGTCACAGTCCAGGCTAGAAGAGCAATCTTTGGACAAGCGGAGTCTGGGTACACCCTCCAAAGCTGTTGCTGAAGTTACACCGATCTGAATAGCTGCTGTTAGAGATGCATTTCTCAAGAAAAGAAATAAATACAATACAGTTACAAGGGGTCCAACTTCCTAGGACACCAGCAAAAATTATGATATGACGGTTGGAGGCAAAGTTATGATGGCTGGGGGCTTAAAGTGGTTGTAAAGGCTCAAGGATTTTTACCTTCATACATTCTTTAATATCACTTTAATGCTTTTAGTTTGACAGTGTCCAAACCTGCTGAAGGCAGCAGAATATCCTAAATGTCCAAGAATTACTATATTCCTGTGTCCCTCTTGAGATAAAGAAATTGTGTTTACTATCAGCTAAAATACAGATCTAAGGCAGGATTGGGCAAATTCCAAGAGCCAGGTAGCATAAACATTTATTCCTTGCACCAGACTTGTGAGTAATTTCTATGGAAATTACTTCATTCCTTGCTTCTGAAAAGAGGCAGTTCACATGGAAAATGGCACACAAGATACAGATAAAAAAAAAACATAAAAAAAAAAGAAACCCCAACAACTCCAGAAAGCAAAACCAACTGTGGACGTTATCGTGCTTTTAAACCCAAAAGCAAACATTTATTTGATTTCAGCTTACCAATTCTTAGATTATTTCATGCATGGAAGCTACCTAGGTGCACATTCTAGATCAGACATGTGCTGGACATTGTATTATCTCTGCTTGATATGAAGCATCTTAAATGGGACTTTGATGGTTGTTGTTCATTGTAATATTTACAAGTATTCAGTTGGATTTCTGTAAATATTACAATGAACAACAACCATCAAAGTCTCATTTAAGATACTTCATATCAAGCATAGAGATACTACACCGTCCAGCATATCTAGAATGTGCACCTAGGTAGCTTCCATGTATGCAATAATGTGAGTTATGATCTATACCTGTGCTCCCATATTAATGACAGGAAAAAGCTCCTCTCCCAACCAAAATAACTTCCCTTGGAATAGTTTACTGGAGGGGTTTCTGATTGGCTGACAGAACACTTTTGATCTTGCATGAAAAGACTTCAAGCGCCATTACTGTAAATACAATTGAGGTCAATATAGTGTTTACCAGGTAATCAAGTCATCCTTTCACCATATAATATGCTCTCGAGCCTAATTACGATCAATAAATACTTCTTGTATGGTCAAATCATATATACAATGTACCCTTTGGAATGTATAATTAGATAAACAGGCTATTCCCCAAATACCAAGGTGACCTGTATAAAATTACCTTAGCAAAGAGTTCTTTTGATGTGTATAGTGGTTTTGTCACTGGCCTGTCCAAGAATGAACAGTATGTGTTTCAATATCTTCAATATATATATTACACACAATATACTACAAAGCTGTCCTGCAAATGTATCAGCGTTGAGACCAGCCATTTAACACTGGCAGGTGTGCTTACAATGATCAGCTTTTATTTATTCCTGTAAACCTTTATCTCAAAAGAAAAAAAAAAGTTGCTGTAACTACTTGTAACTACTTGGTGACTGCAGTTTGAGCTGGAGTTAATTTGGCTTTACATATATATTGTTCCAATTTGTTATTTGTTGTCCAAATATGCTAGTACATCTAATACTTTCTCCCCTCAGACTAATAATTCCCCTGTCCAAAGTTGCCCCTGTGCTCCTTCATCCAGAGTTTAGGCACTCTTAACACAGGATGTGCGTTGCTGGCCAAATCACCAGGTAGAAACAGAGGGGGAAAAGCCTTATACAGGAAAACTAATGCAGCCACCACATCTAAGGATTGGTAAGTTTCAATATATTACATGTTTGGTTTTGGGTTTAATACCACTTTAGGGTATTATCATTATTAAATTATGTACTGCAAACTATTCTAAATTACTAACAAAACATCATTTAAAATGGATTTAAGAATTTAGATATTTAGCCAAATATTTAAAATATAATATCATAAACAAAAATGCCTGAAAGTCAGACCATTCTGATATACAAAAATTGGCACTTCCAAAAATGACCAACATTTTTCACCTTTAAGAGTGAAACTGTGAAATCAGTCTGTATGTACAGTGAAGCATGCTTGCTATACTCACTGAGGAACCTGAGGGGTTATTCCTCTGCATTGTGCAAAAAGAATGTTTGATCCGGTCTTCTCTGATCCTCCCCTTCTTTTCCACTCCCCAATCCATCTGCTGATAGAACAGTGCCTTGGGGGCAAGCTGCACATGCTCCGTTTGATGTGCATAGTTAGAGAGGGTTTTTTTTCTTTGGGAAGGTACACGTGATCAGCATAGGGCCAATCATTACTATCTAGACCAGGGGTCCTCAAACTGCGTCCCGCCGAGGCCATTTATCCGGCCCGCCGGCAGGGGCGTATTTTCCATGAGGAAGGAACACTAAGTACAGGGGCGGGGAGGGGGCTGCTGTACCTTACCTGGCTCCGATCCCAGTCCCACGACGATCCAGTCCAGGAAGCGCTGCTCCTTTATTGACTCCGGTCCCTCCCTCACTCCTGCCGCTGGGCTCCGCCTCCTCACCGGTGATTGGGCGCCAGAACTGTAGCTCAGGAAAGGCACACAGGCGGCCAATCACCTGCGAGGAGGCAGAGCAGAGCGGCCCCACGAACATCGAGTGAGGGAGAGGCCGGAGAGAAGAAGGACAGCTGACAGGTAAGTGTGCCGTGCTGATGGTGCTGCTGCAACCAGGTATGAGCAGGGGTCAGCAAGTTAAGTGTCATTGGTGTCAGTGGGAGGAATAGTGCCCCATCATTGGTGTCACTGATACTAATAATGGGGCATTACTCCTCCCACTGACACCAATGATGGGGCACTATTCCTCCCCCCCACTGACACCAACGATAGGGCACTATTCCACCCCTCACTGACACCAACAATAGGGCACTATTCCACCCCCCACTGACACCAACTATGGAACACTATTCCTTCCTCCACTGACACCAATGATGGCACTATTCCTCCCCCCACTGACACCAACGATGGGGCACTATTCCTCCCCCCCACTGACAAACGATGGGGCACTATTCCTCCCCCCCACTGACACCAACGATGGAACACTATTCCTTCCCCCACTGGCGGGGTACTATTCCCCCCCCACTGACACCAATGACGTACTATTCCTCCCACTGACACCAAAGATAGGACACTATCCCCCCCCATTGACACCAATGACGGGGCACTATTCCCCCCCACTGACACCAATGACGTACTATTCCTCCCACTGACACCAAAGATGGGGCACTATTCTTCCCACTGACACCAATGATGGGACGCTATAACACCCCTTCCCCTTCCCCCACTGACACCAATGACGGGGCACTATCCCCCCTCCCACACTGACACCAACGATGGGGCACTATTCCTCACCCCACTGACACCAACAATGGGGCATTATTCCTCCCCCCACTGACACCAACAATGGGGCACTATTCCTCCCCCCACTGACACTAATGATGGGGCACTATTCCTCCCACTGACACCAATGATGGGGCACTATTCCTCCCACTGATACCAATAATGGGGCACTATTCCTCCCACTGACACCAATGATGGGGCACGTTTCTTCCCACTGACACTGACACTAATAATGGGGCACGATTCTTCCCACTGACACCAATGATGGGGCACTATTTCGCTCCATAAGACATTCTTGGGGGGAAATGTCTGTGCGTCTTATGGAGCGGCCGGCCCAGTATTCCCGCCGCCGTTGTATCTCCGCAGTCTCTGGTCATCTCCTGTACTGTATCCGCATTTGTTTACATTTTTTTTTTTTTTTTAGAAAACTATAGTCTGGCCCTCCAATGGTCTGAGGGACAGTGAACTGGCCCACTGTTTAAAAAGTTTGAGGACCCCTGGTCTAGACAGAGGGTCAGGGGTCCTGCAGCCTGGCAGGACATCAGGGGAGAATGAAAACTCCTCCTACAAGCTTTAACCAGTGCTCTGCTGGACACTGATATGAGTTAAAACACTGCTCTAACTGCTGATGAGAAAGTATTTAGCAGTTTATATTTTCTAAAATAATTGTATTTCCACAAATAAATAAGCAATAAAATGTGTGCAGCACTAATCAATACATTTTTCAATAAATAAGTGTGAAAAACACATTCAAACAATATCCATAAAATGACTATGTGTGTAAAAAAATCAACACAAATTCAAACAGTGATATTGGTTGAATTGTGCAAATATCAGTTCTACTGATAATACCAGGAATATAATGCCACAAAGGATATCTCCACCATGGTAACCATCTTTGGTTTGAGTTTGACGAGTTCAAACAATATTCCTCCATCACCTCCTCCAAGAATTAACACTTCTTTCCCATAGTAGTCTTCTTTCCCACTGCCCATGATAGCATGGGTATAAGCTATGTCACTCTCTGCCAGGTCTGGAAATAATGCACACAGCAGAATGCAAAATGAGAAACTTAAAGATCAAGAAATAAAGCTTTGCTCATAGTGGAACAAAATAATTATCACACTATTTTCATGAATACAAGCCCCCACCAAGTACCCAATAACATGACCCTCCCATCCCAAATCAGTGATGTAAAAACAAACGTATGGGCTCCATGATATTATTTTTTTTTTAAACTCTTAGACTACATTCAGACAGGCAATCCGCACACACTGCAAATTGAAATGGCAAGAATCTGTGGATTCTCGTGGCTGGAATGACAGGTGTGTGTGAAGAGGGTAAATGATCGTCAGCTGAGTGATAGCGTTGGCACCTCCATATATTTGCACAAAGGTTTTGTTAAAGTGACTGTAAAGGTTTGGTTTTTTATTTTTTTTTTAAATAAAAAACATGTCATACTTACCTGTTCTGTACAATGGTTTTACAAAGAGCAGCCTCAATCCTCCTCTTCTGACTCCCCCCCCCCCCCCCCCACCACCAGCATTCCTGGCTCCTGCCCCTCAGTCGAGTACCCCCATAGGCCCTCCAGCTGTTGAAGTACTACAAGTCCCCTCATGCCTCTGGGAGTCTTGCCTGTGGCTGTCAGAGTCTTGCAAAGCCTCATGGGACTTGCAGTTCCCCAACACTTGGAGGGACATAGTTGAAGACTCCTGTTATAAGATTGACTTTTCTGTGAATGCTTGTATTGGTTCAGGGTAATAATTACAGAAAAAAAGTGACTAGGATTCCACTTTAACAAATAATAAAAACATGACCTCTTTTGCCAAAAACGTTTTTGCCAAAATATAGGACATTGCTACTTAAACCCAACATAAACCTTTATCAATTGCATTTGTACCATACATCTCTAAGCATACACAGAAGGGGCCGTACAGTGTTTACTACATGATAGCAGGTTGCTGTAATAAAATGCCAGCACAATGCCACAATACGAATTGATACCAACTAGAGCCATACAATACACAAGGGTGTTCCAAAAGCTACCAACTATAGTTATAGCAGATCACGCAAACAGCAGGGGTCCAAGCAGTTTGAATATTTGGTGAGTTGCCTAGGAAGCAACATTTGGCAAGTAAAATACAGTAGATAAAATAGGTCTCACCTAATATGTTGCAGTGCCATTTACTCTTTTACTACAGATCTATGTAGAGGTGCAACCTCTAAAATGAAGTTTAGAGAGCCAAGGAATCCTACAATGATTGTGTTACAGGCCCTGTCATATGTCATTACACTCCAGCTGCATTGTATTGATTTTTATTTGGTATCCGATTTTGGAATCTACCCAATGGATAAGTCTTTAAGCTTAATTAAAATAATTCTTTTAAAAAAATTGCACAAGGGACTTTCAATTTGAAGTGTCCCTTGTGCTGCTGGCTGGTTTCATAGTTGAAATCAAAGTCCTTTGCTCCCCTCTACTCCCACAGCTGTAATCACCCGGGAGGGGGTTGGGGTCAGAGGACTTTGTATTTCAACTAAGAGACCATCCAACAGGACAATGGATACTTCTCATTGTATGCAAGTACTGTCCCTTGTGCTGATTAACCTCCCTAGCGGTATGATTCCTTCCGATTTTTTGTGCTGAAAGCGGTACCATTTTTTCGCATGGAAATAGTTTTTTATTGTAGGCTGTAATTTTTAGGAAAATTTCCCCACAAATCATTATCACTCAATTCTGTAAGTGGTTCTGATTTACTATCGCTGTTCTCTAGCTGGTCTAAAACCGCTTTTGACGTAAAGGGACGCTTTTTGGACGCCCTGGACTTTTCTAAGTTTCCAGGCAGAAAGAACAGACAAAATGCAGACAGGGCACAGGACAAAGCACTAGGGACAATATGTATGTGAAATGGGATGAAACAGCAATGTTTTACTATTTAAAATTGAAAAAAAAAAAAATGACATTGTTTAAATTTTTTTAAATTTCCCGCCGCCGCCGGCGCCCGTACGTACCGACGTCACGGGGACCGGAACACAGAAGCCGGATGCCGGCATCGGCCGGAGGAGATGGCCGGGGAAGCTGCAGGGGACACATCGTGGGAACAAAGGACAAGGTAAGTGCTGCAGGGACCCCCTATGCAGCGCCGCAAGGTAAGCCCGAGTGTAGCTCGGGGTTACCGCTTGTGGTATAGAAATTCTACCCCGAGCTACACTCGGGAAAACCGCCAGGGGAGGTTAACTAAATGTACTCTTATTTACGTCATGTTGTAGCGTTCTAAAACCAGCTAGAAACCTTTGTTCACTAATTTCTCTTTTGTGTGTCACACAATAATTAAAAAGAATAACTGTATCCTTTGCTCATGGCACTGTAGCCAATATTGGGTCTGCCATAAAACTCAATTGCATTTCAAGTATCAATACTAAGAGCTAGCTATCACTTTCTTACACACACAAGTCAGATTTCTACCATTTGGGAAAATTATCATATCTGAAACTCTTAAATCTATTTGGTCACTGTAAGTAAATCACAATTTTTATGTACAAACACCCAAATTCATGGGACGCACTGACGAGATGCCAATTTTGAATAAGTCTACTGTATGTTAGGATCCCATAAAACAGTGCTACTTACTGACATCTCCATTGAGGATGAGGATGTTTCCAAACTGCTTTGAGTGGAGAATATTTATATTCTGATAAGGCGAGTCCTTACTGTAAACTACTTCATCTATATCGTACTCTACCAGACGCCCATCGGCTGTGGGCCAGTATCTGTCAATATTTGCCCCACGAACAACGGCTGGCAACCTATGGAGAAAATAATAAAAAACACAAGTATTTATGGGCACAAATACAAATATGAATGAAAAAAGAGACAAAATCAAACCCAGGCAATAGAACTTCCCCAAAATGTTTGTGCTGAAGTGCCTGTTAACGTCTGAACGTTACACCTACACCAACCAGTCATACTATTATGACCAAACACAATAACTGATCGAGGCATGGATGCCACTAGACCTCTGAAAGTATGCTGTAGTATCCAGCACCAAGCCATCAGTAGCAGATCCTTTATGTCCTGTAAGTTGTGAGGTGGGGCCTACAAGGATAGGACTTGTTTTTCCAGCCCAAACGACAGATGTGTAGTTTGCTTGAGAACAGATGAAAACTTCGAAATCATTGTTGTGTTTTTCAAACCATTCTTGAATTTATCAGACCAGGCCACTTTCTTCCATTGTTCCTGAAGTCCAGTGCTGATGCTCACGTGTCTACTGTAGGCACTTTCTGCTGTGAACACGGGTTAGCATGGGCACCCTGACCCATCTGCAACTACGCAGCCCCTACGCAACAATCTGCAAAGGACTGTGCATTCTGACACCTATCTTTATTATCCCAAAGAAAGATCCTGGTAGATGTACTGGGAGCATGTGAAACTTATACAGGCTTTTTGGTACTATCACAGTCTTTACCAGGTTTATAGGACCTATCCAGGAAGCAGCACCTTTTGACAATACACAGCTCCTCTTTTATTTCATTTACTAATGGAATATAATTTGCTTGATACATGACATTAAAGGAGTTGGTTTTATTCCCAAGTACCCTGTTTCCTTTTCCCTCCAAGTAAATGGAAAGTCTTGTCGGCACAGCTTCTCAACTTTTGGTATATTGATGTTTAAGTGCTCAACCTTTTAAAGAGCAAGGGCCACGAATGTGATTTGGTAATCGGTCACGGGCAACAATGAAATGAAATGATTCAGAATTTAGATTTTTTTTAAATTTTGAATAGCCTAAATCAACATTTACCACCTGTGGCCGCTAAATGTCAGTGACTGGGAAAGGAAAAACAGGCTTTCAGCGGTTGCCCCTCCTGTCCAAGTGTAAAACAGAATGTAACAGGAAGTCTGCATGGGTCCCTTGGAGTATGGTGCAGGGTCACCATTTTCAGCCTATACCAGTGGCTGGAGGTGTGTTAAAAACACATCTCAAGTATGGGGTTTTACCCCCCCCCCCCCCCAAACCGCAAAAATAAATGAGGCCTTACTGTCCTGAGCCCTGTATAAGGCTGCTTTCACACCCTGAGGTTTACCTGCACTGCAAGTGCACAGCAGTGCAGCTGCGCTTTGCCCTAGATTTTTATTATATCTTGCAGGTGTGGTGCATTTTTTGTAAGTGCACCAAAACTCCTGCATTCAGTTTGAGGTGGAGGGCCCCGTAAGAGGGCTTCTAGGGCTACAGGTTGTGCACCCCTGCACTAGACAGGCACCTTTTATGTTATATGGGTACATATGCTAAAAAATATTTGAGCAATGGTTTTACATTTAGATGCTAATTTCCATCTAAATATTCTATGACTTTAACTGGCATCTTCAGAACTACAATGTATAGAATTCCAAACTCTAGACATATGGATGGGAGAATCACATCTTCCCCAGGGAGATATTTACTATCTATAGCCGAAAACTACAGAAGTTAAATGGAATGCCTTCCACATAAAATGTTAATTGGCAGCCGTATGGTGCAGCTAAAAAACAAGCGTGGGTGTTCGACAACTCAAGGGGGGACACGAGTTTATAACAACTTACAATGAACCAAGAGCAGCAAGCAAACAGTTCTCATTTAAATTTCCTATATAACAGAAAAAATCCTGAGGAAAACATTTGCCTTGAGCCTTCGTGAACACATTTTGAAAAAAGTTGCCTAAAATAATTGCTGCATATATTCAAAGAAGTCTAAGCTATATGAACTTTAGAGGCAATATATTCTGTGACTGATGTACAGATGAAACATTTAGTACCCTGGGCTGAGAAATTCCCATACATCCCATCTGCTGTGGAACACTGTTAGCCAATTATTATTCATTTACATTAAAGTGGAGCACAGAGATATGAATTGTACACTTGGTGCATTCAAAATGCTTTACTCCAGCTCCCCAACTTTTAATTAGTGTAGTAAACCAGCACTGTTGCAATTAATCTGAATTTGTTTGAGGCCAATAATTAATATCTACAACAGTAACCTATAAATCTGAAAACTTGAATCTTGTTAGTTGTCAATGTGCAAAAAGGAGGTGAAAAACATGCAGAGAAATCTAAAAAGAAAAGGCACGAGAGCTCTTCTGGTAACGTGCTGTAAACACAGAGTAGTGGATAGATTAAAAAAAAAAAAAAAAAAAAAAGATTATAAATGATAACAGTGTAGTAACTCACATCTGAAGAGGTTGTGGGTGATCACACAGGTGGTGTGCACTATCTTGTGTACCTACTTGTGGTGAATACCTCTGCCTCTACGCAAGTTTTGTTTTTTTAGGGAAGTCACACTCAATGCACTGGTGTGGCTCAAATCCAATTCTAGTAGTAGTTGAACTTAAAGCAGACCTTCACTCTCTCAATCAACATTGTCTATTTTGTAATCCTTATGCTACTAACATCAGTAAATAGTTGTTAAAGTATAGTGTATTTACATGTTGTCAACTTTTTTTTTTTTTTTTTTACAATTCTTCAATTACCTCTTGGTTTCAGGCCTAGGCAAATAAATCAATAGGGGTCTCCTGTGCCACTCACAATGGACTAATGGCAAGTCAGAGGGGGGGCTGCTATCACCCAACCATATACCAAATGGATAATGTGCAAATTATAAAGTGAATTGGTGCAGCGCTACCCCAATCCTACACTAGCTTATCTCAAAAGACCATCAGATACATATATAAATAGACAAATAAATGATGTACCATACCAATATACAATAACTTGGTGAATAGAATAGAATGCACAGAAAACCAGTATGAATCATCCAAACATGATCTAATGGCTCTTAACGCCAAAAATGTATGTGACTAATGTATGCCACCAGTGCAATTCAGTGAATACAATAAACAGTCACTCACAAATCATAAAGCGAACTGATCCACTGGGGGATCCATTTATTGTATTCACTGAATTGCACTGGTGGTATACATTAGTCACATACATTTTCGGAGTTACGAGCCATTAGATCATGTTTGGATGATTCATACTGGTTTTCTGTGCATTCTATTCTATTCACCAAGTTATTGTATATTGGTATGGTACATCATTTGTCTATATATATATATATATATATATATATATGATGGTCTTTTGATATAAGCTAGTGTAGGAGTGGTGTAGGTTTGGGGTAGCATCGCACCAATTCACTTTATAATTTGCACATTATCCATTAGGCCTAGGCAAATTATGTCATACATCTCAGAAATCTTCAGGAGTGGTTTTCTCAGCTAAGCTCACCCACCTGCCTGCCTGAGCTAAGGGCAGATTGATTCCAGGAAGAAAATGATACACAAGTCATCTGCCCTTAGTCAAGACCAGAAATGCTAGGAGGCTTTTTCAGCAAAATAAAGCATGGAGACATACTGTAGATGGATTAGGGAGTTTTCTTCAAGTATTTCAAATAAATAAAAGAGCGTTTTTTGTGTGTGGTGCTCAGATACAGTGCAGTTCTGCTTTAACTGAATCTGATCACCACAAACCAAAAAACACAATTTAATTCATTTTTAATTTTCAAAGCAAACTCGCCCACCCACCCAGGTCTCCATGTTTTATTTTGTTGAGAAATCACTTTGAAAAACACTCCCTAGCATTTCTAACCACAGCCATCTTAAGTTAGTGCATTTGATTCATGTATCATTATTTCCTGGAATCCATCGGCCCTTAGCTCACGCTTGCAAATTCCACTCTAAGCATTTTCCTCTTTGAAATGATTTTTATTACTTATCTTGGTGCCTCTTCCATTTGATGGGATTTTTGGGTATACTTACCCCTATAAATCTAAAGGTCTATTTTCTTGAAACCTCGGGATTTTATTATGATAGGTGCAAAAAATGTAAATATTGCAAACCTGTCCAAAGGCTTGCTGGGCTGATGTAAGTAATGCTTTTTCAGTATCGCGGTCTTCTAAAAGGTATCACAAGTGGAAATGAAACCTATTTGCGTGTATCCTTCAAGGTAACGTCACCTTTCAACACATCTGATACTGTTACATGAAGCAGTTAGATGTTTTTATTTATTGTTAGCTCCCTAGTACCTTTATTCAGACAGTCTTTGAAACATCCATTGGATCAGATATCGCGGGAATTTATTTCATTCTTTCAGTTTATATCAAATCAGGTAGGCTCTTGCACTACATCATTACTAGTAAACGGTGCTGATTAAATAGATCAAATCTAAGGGCAATCAATCAAATTGGGTGTGGATGGATAAAGGTACATCAACATACATTAGGACATAATTATGAAGCAAAGTGCAATCCTATGTATTACTCTGTGGTAAGTTCACATTTATATGCAGCTTAGCGCGTGAAAGAAAATACTGTACGACATGGAATTTTCTGCATTAATGTGTGCTAATCAAGCACCTGAAATGAATGGTAAGTGTCATACATTTAGTGCAATTTTAATGAATCTGCACTATGGAAAAATGTGTGGAAAATGTGTGTGAAATGTCTGAGTATCACACCCTCATTTGAAAACACAAATTAACAAAAAACACATTCTTAAAATGCCTATTTAAATGCATGCACTGTTAACTATCTATACTGTTCATATACACAATCAGTGGGTTTTATTTGGTCTCTCCTGAGAACAGTCTATATTGTCAAAGCAACCAAATTTAAAAGTGCACATGAGCCAGACAATTTTTTGTTATAAAAACACTTCTATTTTCATTACATACATTTTGGGACACTGATGTAATCACTGGGTCTCTGTTCTTTTCTTACGCATTAGCTGATGAGAGGGACTGGCAGAATGCTGTACGTAGCTTCCTGAAAACAAAACAGTGCCCTG